AGACATGGCTTTGCCATCTGACCTGGGGATCCATTGACGGTGGAGAGTTTGCTAAATGGTTGTACTTTTAGGAAAATGAATGGGGCTCTCCCACAGGTTATTTATTTTTTTAAAAAAATTATTAAAGAGGTTTTTTTACCAAGTAAAAACAATACAAATTTGAAGAAAAAAGGAAATAAAAGTGATCAGTAAATAGGAAAGAAATGAAAAAGGAGAAAAAAGAAAGAGAAAAAAAGCTATAAAGAAGTGGCTTCCAATCTTCTTCAAAGCAGTTATGAATACTTTTATATTTTATCCTCTCTAAGCTTACATCATGTCTCCCTTCTTTCCATATTCTACACTTTCTAATCAACAAACTCATAAATCACAAGTTCATTTCTTTCTGTTTTCAGCAAAAAGCCCATAAAGGGTTTCCGGTCATTAACAAATGTAATTATTGTCTTTTTTCTTATCAAACAAGTCAGTTTTGCCGTCTCTGACTATTCTGTCATCTTCACCAACCATCCCTCCATTGTGGGTATTTCAGAATCTTTCCATCTTTCCCACAGGTTATGTTTTTGATGGTTTTAATAGTTTTAATGTTTTTAGTGGTTTTTAATGATTTTTTGCAGTTATTTTTTGGTGGTTTTTGTATTATTTTTTGGAATTTTTAACTTGGTAAGCCACCCTGAGTCACGGCAGTGAGATGGGTGGCTATATACATTTAATAAATAAATAATAAATAAACATAACTAGTAGGGTCTAAATGAGAGCGGTGATGGTAGTAACAACATTAGTCTGTTTCCCTTGTGTTGCCCAGAATTAACAGGAACAATATAGCATCACTCTGGGGCTATTATGATAGCAGTCACTTTTGATGTTCATGTTTGATGTGAGAGAATGCACATGCGCAAATGAGTAATGTCATTCAGAGCAGTGTCCAGTGAAGAATCTGCATAGAATAGCATGCATGACCAGTTATAATTTGGGGCTACCTTCTTTTTCAACCTTAGCTCAGTTCCACATTTGCAAATTTGGCTCTCTTTGCTATGATCTGAAGCATGCCCATGGTTTTCACTTTTGCTACAGCTTGGCACAGCTTTGTGAAGAGTCATTTCTTACCTTCTATATCCACCTTCTCCAACGTGTTACCTTCCAAATGGGCTGGAATTGCAGAAATCAAAGCCAGCATGGCTATAGGCACCAAACTGGGGGTGTTTACAGCATATATTCATATTTTGGGCAAATAAAACTTTTAGAGATGTGCAACAAAGTATGTGTCTTCCACTTTTTTGCTACAACTCATCTCAGCCACTCTTTCGGGATTCTAAGAGAAGTAGCCAGAAACATTTGGAATGCAACAACTTGTCCAGTGATGGAATGAACCCTCTTCTTGAGGATTTATAATAAGTGCACTGCTATTTTTTACATATATTATATAGCATAACAATTTCTCTTGATGCATCTGACCTATGGATCCTGCAAACTTTGCAAAAATACATCTTGCTTTTTTTTACTCTCAAGATAGCATGAGATTGTTGGTTTGGTTCTCTAAAAAGGAATGTCTGAGAAACGTTCCTTGTCTTTGCTGGCCTTCAAACCGTGTTATGTCTATACCTACAAAGATAAGAACTGTTCATGCAGTGGTTTTCCCTGTGATACAACATGGAAGCAAAAGTTGGACTCTGAAGAAGCAAGTGAGAAGGACCATTGTTGCTTTTGAACTTTTGTGTTGAAAAAGACTCTTGAGAATATAACAGCCAAGAAAACAACAAATGGATCATAAGACAAGTCAATCCAGAGTTCTTGTTGTATTCACTGAACTGTCAGGCTCAAATGATCAGCCCTGGTTCTCTTAAGAAGTCTATAATGCATCATGGGAACCATGGAAATAAAGAGAAAAAGAGGATGATCAGTAGCAAGGTGGATGGGCTCAATTACAATGGCAATGGGTGCACCATTGAAAGATTTGAAGGGCCAGGTTGGGGACAGGTAATTGTGGAATAGGTCTTTCTATGTGGTCACTAACATAAAGACCATGACTTTATGGCACATCATCCATCCATCCATCCATCCATCCATCCATCCATCCATCCATCCATCCATCCAAGATTAAGTAATAATTCTTGAAGTCTGCTTTTTGCTATCATACATCCTTCACATGGAAATTGAAACTCTCATCTATTGGAGAGAACACATCAAGGTAGGAATGTTCTTCTGAAATGCAGCAGGGACTTTTCTAGGCTATTCACTGTGCTTTGAAAAAGGGGGAACTTATTTGAACAATAGTTGTTCAGAATATTAAAAACTGTATCTTACCCAAAGATTGGTAATATTGATGTTAAAAAAGAGATGAAAATGGAGGAATTAATAGTTACTTTAAAGGGTAGGAACCATAGAAATAGCCAGCAGGTGTTGATAACTTCCTTTTTGGAGTTTCAGGTGTGCAGAAATATAGTGAGCCCTTTTAGGTAAGAAGAAGTGAATTCAGATAATGACAAAGAAAAGAAACAGCTGAAGCACTTTTACAGTAATTACCCCATTTCTGGCTAATGGGGACCCCAAAGACCTCACCTCTGTTCTCTAGCTTTCCATTTTGAACTGAAAAGGGACAGTCAATTAAAATACCCTTGAGTTCCAGGCCACCCAGAAACAGACAAACAGAAGAGATATCCAGAGTTAATTGGACCCTTGGTACACACAAAACCATGGGAAGACTGAATGAGAGGCCAAGGCAAATGCTTTCAAAAATAGGATTTCGAACTGGGACCTAAAAATGAGCTAGATTACTCCAAGGGGGAAAAGTGAGACAAAAGAGAGAGGCAAGGGAATTAGAGAAAGGAGAGAAGAAAAGGAAGGTAAATAAAAAGTAAAACCACATGACTTTGTTTGTATTTCTCTATAAAATGGACACCGTAAGAGGACATGCCCAGTGGTTTCCACTTCCATGACTAAGTATCAGATCATGCTTGGCTTGAAACACAGATACCAACTTTCAGAAACCACCCCTACATTTCCTGGTCTTGTCCCACCTTTGGACTCAAGAGTCAAGAACTCACATAGCAAGTGCAATGTTACAATGAACAAAAGAGGGGATGGGGAATGCTTACCATGTGGAATCAGGCTCGGATGAAGCTGAGGTGGTGCTTTTTGGAAAAGCAAGGCCATAAAATGGCTCAAATTGAAGATGAAGATGAAGATGGACTTCATCTGGAAATCCCTGCTTAGCCAGATCAGGATCTGTTTTGAAAAGGCTGTTTTTTCTACTAGTCAAAAAATGATACAATACATTTTCCTTTGCCATAGATTTCATAACACTGTACAAGAAGAGAAGTCTTTATGCATAATTTTATACATTGTCCTGAACTGATGATATGAATATAGGACCTATTTAGGTGATTTATATCAACTTGGTATGTTAATTTTTTAGGGGTTTTTTTCTGTCTATTTTATTTTTGTTTGCTTTGGTATTCATTCGTTTTTGTATAATACACAAAGGTAGTGAACTACCGGAGGGCCTTTTCACTCGCCTGATGTCATGTACTCCCTTCAGCTGTCCTGGACGATAAATATAAGGGAGTCCCACTGGTTAAAAGGCTGTGTCCATGTGGTTCTGGGGAAGTGGAAACCACTG